TTTGTTAATAATGTTTATCAGTATATGCACAACCCCACTAATACTCACATGGCTACTATGAAACGAATGCTTCGTTATCTTGAGGGTATGACTCATTTTGGTCTTCATTACATCTACAATAATCTTGGTATTGCTTCTTATGCTGATTCAGATTGGGTTGGGGACCCTCTTGATTGTAGATCCACCACTAATTTTATTCTGTATCTTGGTACTAATCATATTATTATGAACCAAGTCCACAAGCAAAATAATAATGCAACGAAAATAGAAAAAATAAAGCACACAAGATTTATGTGGTTTGGCTTAATAACCAAGCCTACATCCACAAATGAAACATAGCGACAAGATTTTAGTATCAATGGTTGGAATTACAAAGTTCTCGAATTAAAGGCAAGAGAACATATTTTCCCTATCATTATTACTAAATTAATAGTGCTAAAAAAATCCTCTTATCACCAATATTAATTTTCTTGAAGAGGACCCAAAACAAATAGAACAAACCCCAAATTATCAAAAGAGAACTCCTCATGTCATCGTCAATTACCAGTCACTAAATCCTATCAATAATATGTATAGCTTCATAACACTTTATAGCGTTAACCTTGACTAAGTCAATGCCTTCTTTAAGTCCATTACATGTGGGACTTGATAACCTTTTCTCAATGGTGTGAAACAAGACAATAAGGAAAAAATTCAAACCAAACAATAAGAGAAAAGCCTTGCTCCAATAAAAGTGACGTGATGAACAAGAAGTCTTGAGACTTTGTTCATGACAAATGTCCATGCCAATTAATTTGAACGTAGAGGCGGCGAATGAAATTCTCTAAATAAAAAATCCAAATAGACTTGGAATACAAGTTATATGTAACAAATCTCCACTTTGGATTGTATTCCATTAAGCCATCGAACAAAAATGAACTTGACTACTGTCTTTCTCAAATACCCTGAAGGGTACAAGTCATATAGTGCAAATACCAATCAAGTCTAAGTAATGCTTGGACTTGAGCACTGATACCGACTTAGTAAATATATCTGATGGGTTCTCCATTGTAACAACTTTTTTCACTATGATAATATCTTGAGCCATAATCTCACAAAAGAAGTGATAGCTAATATTAAGGTTCTTGGTAGTTTCATGATACAATAGATTTTTGGCCAAATTAATGTATTGCACTTTGGCTATCACAAAACAAAATAGTCACATCTTCTTCCAAGCCCAAATTAAAGACCAAACATTTTTACCAAATTGCTTCTTTAACGACTTCTGATCTTTTCACTCCGAACATCAAGTGCTTCATGCCGAACATTCATTGTCTCAGGCCGAGCAATTATGTCTTGGGTTATCCACGTTAGTAAGAGTCATGACTTCTGTCATCTTTCAAAAGATTTGGTGCTCGATGTCGACTAATGTGATAGGATGATCCTCCATTGTCACATCAGCCTATTCTTCATGAGATGTGATCCCCAAGGGCAATTAATGCCCGGTGATTCCCCTCGAGATCACCTTGTGCATATTATCGTTTTTCTATTAAGTATGCATCGTTGGCCTTAGAGGAGTCAACCATATACCTATTGAATATCTTTTGCCACATATCAATTCATGACTAATGACCGACTCACATCTTGTGAGCCATTATGACCTATGTGTCATAGAGTCAAATTAAAAAAATAATGCACGAGTAATATTTGACCTTTTCTATATCTCTGTTGTGGAGAGTGTATTGTTTTTTTCCCTAAATCCTTTTGCACACAATTCCTTCCCATCTATAACACTTATAATAAACAGTGTTTGAATAGTGGGTTAAGGTGATTATCTATTCATTGAATGCCATAAAATAAGGTTGGTGTACAAATAATTTTTATTTGGGAAAGGAAAAAAGAGATCGGATATCTTTTTCGGATATCCCATGACCTGGACAAAATTTTTTCCTTAGTTACATGTGCTAAATTTAACCCATCTATTCACTGGATTATCAATACTACCTGGTAACTAGTAAAAATATCAAATTTGCCCTTGCTTTCCCAAATGTCGAGGAGCATTTGTCTGGATGGCAGAGGCAACAGATCTTCTCCTCCACTCGTCGGCACGGTGTGCAGATAGAAGAAGAAGAAAAGACTCCTCCATTAAAGGCAAAAACGTGAAGGAGAGAGGCGGGGAGAGTTGGGTGTTGAGGTATTGGTTCTTCTCTCCATAACAATGGCAGGAACTTGAATTTTTTTCCCCCCAATTTGTTGGATCTGTTGACCCATCTCCAAACTGTTTTTTTGGAATTTCTTAACAGACCATACAAGAAGGCATAGAGGCAAAGGTTTCCTGGTGGGTGTTGTTGTATGTTTTTTCGGCATTTCTTTTTCTACTTTGTTAGATCTGTTGTAGCGAAGGATAAATGGGAATGGTTTTGGGTTGAAGGTTGTTCAATAAGAGGCAAAAACATGCAAACTTTCCTTATTAAAGGTGTGCTTCTTCACCCAAATCTGGCTTCTTCTTGTCTTGGGAATGTATGATCAGCAATTTTGTGCACTTGAGGTCATTTTGCCTCAATGCAATGCTTATTTTTAACTGTCCAACTCTCTCTCTCTCTCTCTCCCCGAAAATGATCTTAAACAAAATGATCTATCCGAGAGTTTCGTTTAGTTTCCGAGAAAATTGAATCAGAAATAAAGAAAAAAACAGTTACTTTTACGTCTCTAAATGAGCTGGTTTCTCATATTATAGTTTTCGAATTTTTGAAGAATTTTTGGGAAGGATTTTAGATTGGTTTCTTCAAATCTTGTCAAACTCAAACTCGTCATTCACCATTCAATTCCGTCTATATCCATATTTGGTAAGGAACACGTACGCACGTAAGATTCCCGGATACATTATAATTATTAATAATTATTTATCTAATAAATAATTATTTTATTTTTAATTAATTTAATTCATACATATATTAAAGGATATAATTATCTTTTAGATCCTTAACTCTTTACTTAACTTCTCAAACACACTCACCCTTTAGATTTGGCGAAATGCATGGTCAGGGTTTAATCTTCTGACCAATTACGTGCTGAATTTAAAAACCTGACCAATTACGTGCTGAATTTAAAAACCCAAGACTGAAATATTCATACAAATATATAATTTGAGGGTTGGTTGACTATTTTTTTCAAACTCCTCTTGTCGAGTCTCAAAGAGATTGTTTGGCATGTGGGTTTTTTTTGAGAATATGAGTTGGAGAGTTAATCCCCTTAAACTCATGTTTAACAATCATAAAGTACGAATAAAATTTCAAACTCGACTTGGTCATGAAACTCACATACTTGGGTTTCATGAAATCCAAGGGGGGTGAGTTACATTTGTGGGTTTGGGGGTTTAACATGCGAATACCATTTATATTCTTATATATCTTATATGCCTCATATATATAAATTGATTAAGAGACACAATAGTTATTTATATACAAATATATTATCATAATAGTCATATATTCCTGCGCATACCAAACATGAGTATAGACAGCATTAAATATTAAATCTCATCTTTGAATTTCACTTTTGAGTCAAACCTGAGTTTAGACAATCAAATTCAAACCCCTCCCAAAAAACATACCAAACACGCCCGCGGGTAACAGCCTGAGGCTTCTCTTAACCATCAAATATCCCTGGTCTTTAAGGTCTATTCAGCTGCTTGAATACTAAATGGAAGCATATAGCAACACAATCAGAGAACTTTAAATACCTTCCTCATGGTTGTTGATGGACTGAACTTCCTCATGCTTGTTGTGTAATTTTATTTATTTTTGTTAAATTGGTAAGATAGTGAAGTTCCTTTGGCTCCTTTGGTATACTTCAGTTTATTCTGGCTGCTGAATACATTCCCCAACTTCCATTATTATGAGGTTATTTTTAAAAAGGATTCACAGCAACCAATCAGGGGATAATGTGGGCTCATCACCATTAATGTATATATTTCATTATGTATAAATGTGACGTGGGAAATATTTCAAGTTAGTAGGCTAAGCCATAGATCCAAACAAATGATTAGATTGGATATATCCATGGGCAGAATGATAAACTTATACAAAAGAAATAATCTAATTCACGGGACCCACAAAATTGCACTTTTTTTTTTCCAAACAATAATTTGGCTGGGATATAATTCTTAACTCATCCAATTTAAGAGGCTGAGTGCATTTAGGTTGAATGTGTAAAGATATAAAAAACAAATCCTATCCTATCTAAACCATTATCCAAACACCCCGATAGTATTTAATTGCAAGCATGGCCCCCCATTGACCTTTTTCTGTTGAATACTGAACTTGATCCCTATTGTGTTGCGTACACAAAACAAGAAGAGGATAAAATGCAACTCAGTACCCGTTAGACATCCCTTTAGAAATCCCCATTGTTTTGCGGGTAAAGTTACCGTACCGTCCCAAATGCATCCGTGTTTTTATTTTATTTTGAACGATTTAAAATTAATGAATAAAATAAATATTAAAATAATAAAATTTTACACATGACAAATTTTTAGTAGATGTAGGTCGGTCATAGATAGACACGAATACAATTATATACTCTTGTAACGTGTAATATTAGCTTGGGTCCGAGAGTTAAAATAACAAGTTTTTCAAGACCCCAAATAAAATTACCATTTAGAATAAAAAAAATAAATTATATTTGTCAAAAATTGCAAAATCGTATTATATATCAAAAAATATGATATAGACGAATGGTAAAATTTCTCTTGTCAAGGAGAAGTGAGTAACCCAAATACCAACCTTGTCCGGTAACCATGCATTCACGTTGGTTAGTGAAGCATCGTTCCTGATACGGTGGTTCGTAAAATGTTATGGTTCAACTTATAATTTGTGCTACTGACCATATGATCACAGACTACTAGTCACCCTATCGCTATACAACCATTTAACTATTCCGTTATCGAATAAATAAAGAGTAACCCACTCGTAGAGAATGGGCAGTCACTTGGTTCACGGAAGAGACAAACACACAAGGGTATGGAGGGGGGGCAATTGGCAGAGAGAGAAGAGAGGAAATGGAAGATAACGTGGACTTGTTTTACAGAAGAGATGAAGAAGGTGAGTTTTGTAGCGGCGCCGATGGTGGCGGTCACGGTGCTACAATACCTCTTGCAAGTAATATCGGTGATGATGGTGGGACGCCTTGGTCAGCTTTCGCTGTCTAGTGTTGCCATTGCTACCTCCCTCACTAATGTTACTGGCTTCAGCCTTCTTGTGAGTCCTCTAACCTTTCACCTAGCATAGCACATTATGGGCACATCTCCACTGGCAATAAAAGAAGGGTTGTTAGACCGTAAGTATATTTGATTCACAGGTAGTTTACTGCTCATTTCCTCTTGAAGGTTTGATGCGTCTGGGGTGGGCTCACAATTATAAAACATTTCACCAACACTTCACCAAATTGTCACCACAATTTTTTTTTTTGGGCTACATGTACGCCCTTGCATGGGACTCATCATGATCCTTGTGTTGTGAGATTCTCGAAGATGGTCCTACTTCCTACCATATTAGCTGTCACCATCCCACCAAATTAGCTTGCGCCCAAACCACCCGAACTCCACACAATAAGAGTCGGTGGCTCTATTAATAATCGTAACATTTTAGAAGAATATTGTACAATATTTTTTGCCCTAGGGCAGATGCACACAATTTTTAAAAAAATGCATTATACAATGAATATCCGATGCTTAACGCTAGTAAAATATTTAACACACTTTTGACTAAACAATGTGAGATGGTCGCCAAACAATTGTAACTTAATCTTGGGATGTAGCCGAACTAAATCAACCCATGGGTGTTTAGGTTGGTGGTCAGGGTTCTTACTTGTAGAACTGGACCAAATTACACATTAATTCATGAGTCCACACACCAATACACATCAACAAGTTATTAGGGGATCTCTCTTGCATAAATGTGATATATATATATTGTTCTCCAATTATTTGTTGCATAATCCTTCTTAGAAATCACAATAAGTAAACTAAATGATAGACATAGTACCAACATCTATTCGGTTCATTCTACGCAGTCAGGGCTGGTTGGAGGCTTGGAAACTCTATGCGGGCAAGCTTATGGAGCACAACAATATCACAAACTCGGCATCTACACTTACACTGCCATAATCTCTCTCTTTCTGGTTTGTTTCCCAATCTGCATGCTATGGATTTTCATGAACAAACTGCTAATCCTAATCGGCCAAGACCCTTCAATCTCACATGAATCTCGCAAGTATTCCCTTTGGCTCATCCCTGCGCTGTTTGGCTCTGCAATTCTTAAGCCTTTAGTCAGATATCTTCAGTCTCAGAGTTTGATACTTCCAATGCTCACAAGCTCATTTCTTGTTCTATGCTTCCATGTCTCTCTGTGTTGGGCATTCATATTCAAGTTGGAGTTGGGAAATGTTGGTGCAGCTGTGGCCTTCAGTTTATCCAACTGGTTGTATGTGATCTTGATTGCTGTTTACATAAAATACTCAGCCTCCTGCAAAAACACCCTTGTGTCTTTCTCTGTGGATGCCTTCTTTTGTATTGGGGAGTTCTTCCGGTTCGCCATCCCATCTGCTGTAATGATCTGGTAAAATCCTCCTTCGTTTTACAGTTAATAAAATTACTTTTAATGCTTTCCATATGGTATTAGCCCTTCTTCTAAAACTTTGAATTTCTTCTGGCTATGATACTTTTAATGGCAATTACTAGTCTTAAGTGGTGGTCACTTGAGGTCCTCATTTTGCTATCAGGCCTTTTACCCAATCCAAAGCTTCAAACTTCAGTGCTTTCCATATGGTATGCTTCTAATTCAGCACTTTGACATTCGATAAATCGAAGGTTTGCAATAGGAATTGCTTCTCATTCCTCAAAATTCTTGTGATCAGCCTGACAATCTCTACATTGCACTTCACCATACCTTATGGGATTGGCGCTGCAGCAAGGTTTGCTCTACATTCTTTTCCTCGTTCATGCTGTAAGTTTGTGACTTTGTGGGTCACATATAGTGGTGTCAATTTGCTTATCACATCACAAACCCAATATTACACAAACTCACAAATTATACGACTCATTAGGATGGATACTAAATAGATGGGAACAATGTTAGACACGAATAAACAGTTTAGTTGGTAATGCAAAAAAAAAAAAAAAAGAAAGGTAATGCAACAAGAAAGTGATTTTTTTTTCCAACCATTTCTTTATCCGGTATTGTATGACTTGTATTAGCATTATATAGTATTATGCCAACATGAATATGGAGATGAACACCGTACAAAACAAAATGACACGACCTGAATATAACTGATGACACGACACGACTAAATCAACGCCATTAGTAACAAGTTTGTCTAAAAATTTGTGCTGAATTCTGTAGTACTCGGGTTTCGAATGAACTTGGAGCTGGGAATCCACATAAGGCACGAGTGGCTGTTTGGGCAGTAATGTTTCTTGCAATCACTGAGGCAGTTATAGTAAGCACAACTTTATTCTGCTGCCGATATGTGTTGGGACGTGCTTACAGCAATGAAAAGCAAGTGGTGGATTATATTGCTGTTATGACTCCTCTTATTTGTCTCTCCATTGTCACGGACAGCTTACAAGCGGTTATTTGTGGTGGGTTTCCTCAATCTGTTCATACATTATATTCCTTCAAATCACTACAACTTTCTAAAGCAACTTATAGGTCTGGTATATCACCCCAAAAAATTGGACACTTCTCCAAGGAATGCCTTACCTAGGCCGAGCTTTAGTAAGCTCGACAGCTTGGTTTGGTTGTGACTGACTATGATGGATTTGTAGCCAACTGTAGGTTCCTGTTCAAAGTTGGCGCGGCATGCAGAAACTTGCAAGCTTTAATCCTAACTCGAGCTAAAAGCAAGCTCAATTTCTGATAAAAACATTCATGAAATTAAAACATAAAACAAGCTCAAGCACTAAAGTTGAGATTTTTCGAAAGGAGAGAAGTGCATGTGATCTTAAGCAATTTTCGGATAAGTTTTGAAATCTTCATATTTCCAAAAAGAGTTTTTTTTTTTTTAAATAATGAAATTAGAATTCTTGATCGATAGGATCTTATTTGAGCCGAGTCTCATGTTGATTAGATTCGACACATTTACAAAACGAATTTATAAATTTTATCATATTCATTTTACTAGGCACTTAAAACAAGATTGAACGAGATAAAATTGAGTCAAGCACAAACTGAGTTGCTCGAATCATTTAATAGTCCTAACTTTGCGGTACGATGAGCACCCACATTCGATAAATTGTTTTTCTTCTTTGTACCAGGTATAGCAAAGGGGTGCGGATGGCAGCATATAGGAGCCTATGTGAATCTTGGTGCATTTTATTTGGTTGGAATTCCAGTAGCTGTGGTATTGGGTTTTGTTCTTAGTTTCAAAGCAAAAGGCCTTTGGATTGGAATAGTGATTGGATCCACAATACAATCAACTATTCTCTCTCTTATAACAGGTTTCACAGATTGGCAAAAGCAGGTACTTCACTTTTTCCCCTCCTCTTCTTCAAAGTGATGCATTACATGTAAGAATTTGTTAAAACGATATAGAATAACAACTTAATTTATTAACCTATTTCATTATAGTCCTTGAATTGATTGTGTGTCCAATCAAACCTTAGAACTTGATGTTAATTTAACGGTTACAATCTAATCATATTTTAGGGCAGCAGATTATGTCAATTTTTTTGATCTAATTAGCATTACTTGCAGAATAAAGCTATATATCACAAATGAGTTTGTCGAATGCTGTATATTAAATAATGTGGTAAAATTGTATGTATTGAATGTTTAGTGAGATTGACGAGACTCATTAATTCAACCATCTACACTAATTTGGTATTTAAAATTTGAGAAGCACAACAATTTATAAGAATGATTTTTATCAGGGCTAATAGCATTTTTAGTTTCTAAAGTGTATCTGTTTTATTAGTTTAGTCATCATTATATTAATTTTGTAAATTTGATCCATAAAGTTTCAATTTGTATCGCTTTGGTCCCTAATCAGATAATTCGTTAAGTTTTTTTATGGAAGTGACCACTTGTCATTCTTTCAATGTGACACCATTTAAGTCTTCAATGTGGGCACTATTTAAAATTTATAACCTATTATTTGGGGACCTAATCAAATACCTAATTCAATCAACCATTAAATTAGTTATGAGCTTTAATGTTAGATGAAATTCACTTTCAATCCTATGGCATTGAATTAGGTCCTTAAATTAGATCACCAAATTAGTCATGTATGGTAGAGTCTCCCTTCAAAGAGTAATGTTATCGAACCTAAAAATTTGATATAATCAACTAATCTAATGATGTGGCTTCATTATAACCGTTGAACTAATATTAAGTTCCGATCTTTGATGAAATTCACAGTCAATCAAATAATTATAATAAATTAAATCAACAAAATAGGCCAATAAATTAAATCTGTATAGCATTGGTCTCCTTCAAATACACGAATGAGAGAAACTTGCTCGTTATTAAAGATTCCCAATAAAGCAGCCACCTCTTTCTGGACCCATTTCATGGAAGTCATATGAAGGGAAAACTAGATGATATCTAAATGTTTCTTAAACAAAAATAGATTTTTTTTTTTTACCAGTAAATAGGTTTTTGAATATGAGTTGATTTTGCAGGTCACCAAGGCAAGGGAGAGGGTACTCGGAAGGAGAGCTTTGGAAGAAAATGAATTACATTGAATGGGAAAGAAAATAATAAAAAAAAAAAGAGTAATACTAGATGTATTTAAAAATTAGACTTGATAATTTCAACCATTGAATAGACAGTGAGTCCCAACAAATATTGAAACTCACAGTGAAATCAATGATTGAAATTAATAAGTCTAGTTTTTAAGTCTATTTTTTAAATTCATGTAACATTACTCTAAAAAAAAGAATAGAAAAAACAATAAAATTTTGTATGTGTAATGTCACATCATTAATGATAATACCACGTCATTTGGTCCTCTCAATTTGATCTCTTTTATTTTGAGATTTATTCAATTTCAAATGTTTTTACAAATCAAATCATTATATTCTATTTCAAAAATAAGAAAATATTATTAGAATAAAAAAAAATTGATCTAATTTGTTAACATAATAATTTTACAATTGATAAAGTACAATAAAGAAGTTCAACATTTACAGTTATAATAATACTATTAGACGATGTCGCAACACATCATTACGTTTGTAATTTAGATTAATTTTGTAAGTCCCACTACCGTTATTCTTTAAAAATATTTTGAAAAACTATTAATACAACCCTATACATTGTTTCCAGAGTGTTTTCAAACAGTTTCTAGTTTTTTGACTGAACGAAAGATGTAAATTTTGAGTCATGGTTCTATTTTATCATATTCAGTTCTTTTGTTAAATGTGAACGAACTTAAATTAATGAAAATCAAGTTGAGTTCGAGCCAAAATTGAGCGGATAGATTAGTTCAGTAGCTTGGTTATAGTAGGATTCCAACTAGATAGCTGCCTCTCCAATGAATTACTATAGCACATAAGCAGATTGTTTACACCCAAAAATAGTAAATTTTGATGGTGATATGTGAAAGCAATCTAAATACCATGAAAGAGTGTGTGAGAGTTCACACTGAAGAGGGTGGTTAAGGAAATCGGACCCTAAGAGTCCTAAGAAGCATTAAAATATAACATCATGAGTTGCCTGTTGGAGACGCTTCAACACATGTTTGTACATGCGAAGGAAAAATGTTATGATTAAAGTTATATCAAAAAAAAAATAGTTTCGACGGTTGAATGTCATTCCTATAAATAACAAGGGCAAAACTACAGAAAGAGATCATCACTCAAGCACAACAATTCCACGCAGTGCCAACCAGGGTCGGCCCTTAGGCTAGGCAATCGAAGGGGTCACCTAGGTCCCCATATTTTTTGGGGCCTAATTTTTTATTTATTTATATTTACTTAACTTGAAATTATTTTTAAAAATTTTAGATTCAAGTTTAATTAAGTCTAGATTTGTTTTCAAGGTCCCAAATAAAACTTTTAAATCTATTTTCAATCAAATAAAATTTTCTTTTTTGGGCCCCTAATTTTTTTTATAGACGCAGATTTAATGAAGTTAAATTTTATTTTTATGAGTTTTATACTAATATAGAATTCATTATATTAATCATAATATTATTCATATATTGGAACCTACTATGTATAATAAAACTATGTAATTGTTTCGTTCATATATTATTAGTAACTATTTTGATCAACTTGAAAAAGTATACCTTTTGTTTTTTCTTTTAGAATTTGATGGTGTTTTGATAAGTTAAATTTATTTAAATTTAAATTGAGTTTGTTAATAACTTTTTTTCTGTTGCCATGAAAGCATAAACATCACTAGAATGTCTAATATTGAATTTCAAATCAACTCTCTTACTATTTTGTTGAATAAATTTAAATGATATGTTAAAGAATTTGAATACATAAATTTAAATAGTAAATTGGCAGCTCAAATAACAAGAAATTTATTTTTAAATAGATATATTTTAATATTTAATAATAATAAAAATATATTATATATTATCATAATAATCATAATTAAAGGGGCATCATCCAAGAATTTTGCCTAGGGTTTTCGTTTGACTCTGGCAAACACTGGAGCCCACCAATCTCCTACTTATTTTTACTTCCCACCAATTTTACTTTACATATACTTGTAATTCATCACTCCGATAATCTCTACCGCTTTCATTTAATAATAAGTACATTAGTGTTTTCATCTTCCAAGTTTAAATTTCTTGCCATTTTACATTCCAGTAAGCTTTCTGCATTCCAATCCATTATGTTAAGACTTGAAAAATTATTTAGGATTTTTTTGAAGCCCGTCCACACTCGTGACCTTTTGGAAGAAGAATGACATGCGTGTTCTTTTGGGGACTTAAAGGATAACTAAAATCATAAAAACTAATTTACCCTTAATAAAATAAATAGCTATATTTTAAAATAGACAATAACAACAAGATAATAACAGTAACAATGATATAATAATAATAAGACAGTACCAGTAACAATGACACAATAATATTAACAGTGACACAATAACAACAATAGTAACAGTAGCAATGACACAGTAACAATAATAATTACTGTGACAATAACACGATCATATTAACAGCAATACCCATGTGGATGGGGTGTAAGGGATAATGGCTGGGAATAGAGATATTATAGAAGGTGGCAGGGCTAGAGAGTGGTGGTGGATTAGGCAATAACACGATCACAGTAACACCAATGGTCACTGTTAAAATTTTACGAAACTAGTCTGTAACATAAAGTAGATAGTCACATTATCACAATAACAGTCACAGTCACTGTCAAATTTCTACGACATCAGACAGTAACATGAACTAAACTGCCACAAGATCATAGTAATAGTGACATTGACAAATATTGTAAATTTTTTTGTCAAATTTTACTATCCAACAAATTTAAACCAAATAAAAATAATATTAAGATTTACAATTCAACCCAAATATTGGATTTTTTTTAAGCTAGTCCACAGTTGTGGACTTTTGGGACAAAAAAGACTAGCGTATTCTTTTTGGGGCTTAAAGGATAATTAAAGACATAATGATTAATTTACTCTTAATGACATAAATAATTATATTATAAAATGGACAGTAACAATAAAAGCGACACAATAACACGATCACAGTAACAACAATACCTGCGTGGGTCAAGTATAAAGTGCAATGAGTAGTAATAGAGCTGTTATGAAATATAGCAAGACTCGAACATAGAGTGATAGTAAACTAGACAGCAACACGAGCACAATAATAACAACATGATAACAGTCACAATCAAAATTCTACGAAACTAGACAATAAGGGGAACTAGACAGCCACACTATCACCGTAACAACTACAGTCATTGTCAAAATTATATGGAATTAGTTAGTAACGTGAACTTAACAATCATATGATCATAGTAACAACCACAACCACAACCACAAATAGAACGGTTCATAAGTTTAAACCAATTTTTTTTTTTTGTCCATATTAGAACAAATTTAAGATCAATATATCAAAACAACTACGTAAAAGTGGAGATCTAAAAAAATTTTGCACAAAAAATAATAAAGCCCTTAGCTCATGTATTTCATTGAACACCATTTAAGTATAACATATAAACTAAAGAATGTCACGGGCATTCATTATCCATTACGGTGCAAAACAATCCACATGACTACCTCTGATTAGTTAATATCCGGTTCGTAGAGAGATCGTACATAAAGTTTCCAAAAATAACACTTAATTATAACAAAATTAGGAGTGTCAATCGTGTCAAGTTAAACGGTTACGTGTTGGGTGTCAAACATGAACACGAACCGTTTAATAAACGAATAACACAACACAACTTGTTTAATCCGTTTAATTTTAAAAAAATTATGTCAACAAATTTTAATACTCCACTTTTTTTATTGTCAACTATACTTGTCTTATAAAAACGAAATTTTTAGCCAAATCTCACGTGAAATTGAGACTTGAAGACTGAACAAAAGGGGAAGAGGCTACTGCCTTTTATAAGCAAGTCTACCCTTCTCATCTCCCCTCATTTGCCGATGTAGGACAAAAACAAAGATCTCACCAAAAGGAATAGGCCGCTGCGAATGCCAACTCCTTTACTTTTTTTTTTGATTTCTTTACTTTTTTTCTAGCGAATTTTTTAAAATACTTTTTAATTTATTATTATATTAATTTTATTTAAACGGGTAAATATGTAATAAACGGGTTGATAGAGATCATCCGAACACGACCCGTTTATTAAACGTGTTTAACGGGTCAATCCGTTTACCACTCAAACCCATTTAATTCGTGCCGATTTATATCGGTTAATCGTTTCGTGCCGAATTTTAATAGGCTTAAACTAGATTACACACCTACAAAACACAAAATTTAGAATTCTCTCACATCAAACAAAGCAAACTGATAGAATATACAGGAATTGTAGCCTATAAATAAACCAATAGTATTAACTTGGGAGGAACCAAAAGAGAGATAGATAAGGGTGTGGCTTAGTTCTTTGTTAAGAAGTCCAAAGAAGGAAGAACAATTGGTGCCAGATACTTCCAAGAGAACCCCCTGAGATGAAAATAGAGCATTTGGAATCCACTGTCGAAGTCATTACTAATTCTGCGAAAACTGAACCAGACGTTTCAAGAGAGTTCTTCGTTTGGAAAGAGAATTCATACAAAAATAGAACAAAAATGGTTTCGAAAAAATCCAAAACCCAGTTGTCGATGGCCATTGTCCGAGAGAGTGAAGAAGATACAATCGAAATTGTTCAGAGAAAAAAAAACCGAACCAGTAGACCACTGGGCGTTCCTGGTATATTTACACCTCACACACATTATTCGCGTATCGTTTGGTCTGGTTGGATACAAAAATCGCTATCTAATTTTGATAATTGTAATGGTGTTATTGCCGACGAGTTTTTCCTCGGATTTGCCACCGAATTTGGGTGGAGGGAAGAATAGGAAATAAATAAATAAATCAAACTATTGGACCTACTTACCGGAAATTTCATATCATTTGTCCTTAATAACCCAATAAGTTTGTGCCTGTCCTTGTCAGCAAAAAAGATCCCCATATTATACTTAGTTCTAATTTTAACAATAATTTAAGTCTTTATTTCCTAAGGTATAAAAAATAATTCAGAGACAACCTTATACTTTACTACAATCGTCTGAATAGTCACGATTTTAGAAACTCACATCGATTCGAATAGGTAAAGTCGTATGTGGTTGGACCTTAAGTCCAATCAAACTTTAGCACGCCCGTGATCTAAAAATACACCACACATAATTTTCGGGACGCTGGTGGGACCCCAAGTGGCTACAAGGCGACCACTCGCATAAAATTCAAAATAAACCCAGTAGAAATACCCCTAATGCACGAGATTGTTGAAGAAGGTAAGTCTGGCGTCCCCAACTTACTAGAAGATTGGCGTCCACTAGGGGGTAAGTAAATAGAGAATCCGACTCAAAGGTAGAGGCTTCGATTAAAGCTTTGTCACAAGTAGTCTTCCAATAGGTTTTGGGTTCATCAATGATTTAGGGGACTGATTAAAGAGGGATTTGGTCACACTAGGCAAACACTAGAGCGGCTATTCAATAGTTTGAATCAACCAGGGGTTGCAAGGCGCCGCTTCTGATGTTTCCTCTGTATGTGCTGCCTCCGAGGGCACAACAGGCTAGAAATGACCATTCCAGAAATAACACCCTTTTTCAAGAGGATATGGCCCCCAATCTCGAGTTTCGGGACCAACTAGACAAAGTTATCCAGGAATATGTCGATCTTGCCATGAGACACATCACCAGGCTGATGTACCAAAACCCATACTCCGACTAGGTTGGTAGGGCATGTCCCCGACCTCTTCTGCACTCCCAGAGTCCTCCCCGACCTCAAAGGGATATGAAAAGAAGGCAAATCTCATGAGTGCTTATAAGGAAGGGGTACCTCTGGCGAAGTTACTTTTGGTAGAGGCTAAGTCCTTGCTAGATGTATCCAAGGATAAGTGGAAAGGGAAGGTCCCTACAATTGGTGAATCCTCCATGTGGGATGATGAAGAGATGGCTTTAGCCAGTGTCCACAACTTTGTTTCGAGTGAGGAGATGAGGGGCGCCTTTAAGCTAAGGGTTATACAATAGACCAAACTTCTTGCCCGGACCATTGAGAGAGTAAGGTTTTCGAACTATTTCTGTTGGTTGAGCTTTATTTCTCCTTTTTAACTTCTTACTTTCTTTTTGTTGGGTATTGGAAGCAAAATAGATCACCAAAAGAACACAAAAAACAGAGGATAAAAATCTGCTCTACTTCCACACTAATTTCACTCAAGAAACACTTCTATTTTCATTAAAAATGATCACAATATCAAGGAATACAAGGGGAATAACTTAACTGAAATTTTCAGCAGTAAACACCCAAGAAATACAAAGAAATAGAGCTTCTGCTCATGTCACACACTGCTGGTTTTTCTTCCAGCAAAACACAATTTTTTCACTCTCTTTCTCTCTGTTTTTTCTGCAGATAACATCACTATTTTTTGTACTCCCTTTTCTATTTTTTTTTTTTTTGCACAGAAAACACTCTTTTTTGGCAACAGCAGCCCAACCCTTTTATATGACTATGTTCCAGCCAAAAAGTCCTTGAATCTACCCATTCAATGTCCAGCTGCCTTCATGCATGAAACCATATTTTGTCTCTTCATTTTTCCATGTAGCAGTACATGAGCACTCTTCCCAAAGACATGCACAACCCTCTCAAAAAATCTGGACTCTTCTAGTGAGATTACCTCTTCAAATACTATGACTTTTCAATATCCAAAAACACAAAAAACTACCCTTTAAGAATTGAGTTTATAAAAACTAACATCCCCCCTTAAACTCAATTCCTTGGGTTCTCATGCCTAGCATGATTTTCAATCTTCCAAACACATCATGCTTTAATGGCTTTGTAAAAATGTCGACAACTTGATCTTGAGTCTTGCAATACACCAACTTCACTTCTCAATTCTTCACATGCTCTCTAATAAAATGGTAGCGTGTATCAATGTGTTTACTACTCTCATGGAACACTGGGTTCTTTGCCGACTCCATCGCTAATCTATTATCAACAAGGATCTCCGTGGAAATTTCTTGAAAAAATTCCAAATAATTCAACAAGTTCCTCAACCAAATATCATGACACACTGTTGAATTTGTAGCCACATACTCCGCTTCACACGTAGACAAAGTAACAATTGCTTGCTTCTTGGATGACCAAGTAAAAGCCGTATCTCCCATGAAAAAACAATAACCCGAGGTACTTTTCCTTTCATCCAAGTCTCGTTCCCAATCACTATCCGAATATCCAACAAGTCTAAAATCATTACTACAAGAATAAAATAAGCCATCATTGAGTGTACCTATAATATAACGTAAAATCCTCTTCACCGCATTAAGATGAGTTTGATCCGGTGTTTCCATGTATGTACTAACCAAGCCAATTCCATAAAGAATGTCCGGCCTTGTGCAAGTAAGGTACCGAAGACTTCCAACTAAACTTTTAAAGTAAGTTGGATCAACATTTCCACCACTAATGTTCTTCCTCAATTCCAATCTAGTTTCTACTGGTGTATTCACTGGGTTGCAAGAATCCATCTTAAACTTCTTGAGCACTTCCTTTGCATAACTACTTTGAAAAATTAAAATTTCATCTTCACTTTGCTTAACCTTAATGCCAAGGAAATGAGACATTAAGCTAATATCAGTCTTTTCAAACTCCTTAATCATACTTCTCTTGAATTCATCAAACATCATTGGATCATTGCCGGTGAAGATCAAGTCATCAACATAAAGCCAAAAAAGTAGCACACTTCCATTGCCATTCATCTTCATATATAATGCATGCTCATAAGGACACTTTTGAAAACCATTCTCATGAAAATATTTGTCAATTCTAGCATTCCATTTGTGCGGTGCTTGCTTTAATCCATAGAGAGTTTTTCCCAACTTGTACATTTTATCTTCATGTCTCTTTTTCACATACCCCTAAGGTTGTTCAACATAAATCTCCTCCTCAAGAAATTCATTCAAGAATGCCAATTTCACATCAAGTTGGTAAATCTTCCACTTGTTTTATGCCTCAAAAGAAATCAACAACCTAATCGTTTCCAAATGAGCAACGGGAGCAAATAACTCATCATAATCAATTCCGGCCCTTTGCTTGTAGCCTTTTGCAACCAACCTTGCCTTGTATCTTTGGATTTCACCATTTTCATCCTTCTTGGTTTTATATACCCACTTCACACCAATTGCTTTATGACCTTGGGGAAGACTAACTAATGCCCATGTATCATTCTTTCAATTGCCTTCATTTCTTCATCAATTGCTATTCTCCATTTCTCTTCTTGAACCACTTCTACAAAACATAAAGGATCACAATCCATGAAGAAACAAAACAAATTCAAGTTACCTTCAAAATTTTCCGTAGATTCTTAAATCTCTTGCAAACTTCTTATTTTTCTTGGTCTTTCACTTGAACTTGAATCCGATGATGATGATGATGATTCACCTGTAGAAGATGAGGGGGATCCATGTGGAGGTGTCTTTGGCTCTCTTTGGACTTCCCTTGGCACTTCGAACTTTTCTTCTTCAAGCATAAGTTCTACTTTGGTGGCTGAAATTTTTTCTTTTCAATCCCACATGTCTTCCTCTTCAAATATTACATCTCTAGTCATGATCACTTTCTTGGTAATGGGGTTGTATAACTTGTACTCCATTGTTCTATCACCATACCCAAGAAAAATGCACTTTTCACCTTTGTCATCAAGCTATGTCCTCCTTGCTTCGGGAACCTTCGCATAAGCAATACATCCAAAAACTCTAAGATGGGCTACACTTGGCTTGAATGAACACCAAGCTTCCTCTGGGGTCTTGAAACGAACACTTTTGGTTGGACATCAATTCAAAAAGTACACTGCACATGCTACAGCTTCGGCCCAAAATTCTCTAGGCAATCTCTTTCCTTTCAACATGCTTCTAGCCATATCAAGAATAGTCCTATTTTTTCTTTCTGCAACTCCAATCAATTGAGGTGTGTAGCTTGGCGTGAATTGATGCAAAATTCCATGTTCCTTGCAATAATCTTCAAATAAATCAGAACTATACTCACCACCTTGATCGGATCTCAACCTCTTGATAAAATAGCCACTTTGCTTCTCAATAAGATTCTTGAATTCTTTAAAAACTTCAAACACTTCGGACTTCCTTCTTAAAAAATACACCCAAGTCTTCTATCTATAGTCATCAATAAAAGTAAGAAAGTAGCGATTCTTACCATTTGACATAGGCTTCAAAGGACCACAAACATCGATGTGCACAAGCTCCAAGTGTCGTGATGCTCTCCACTTGACTTCTCTTGAGAAGTTTAATCTGTGATGCTTGCCAAGAATACACCCTTCACATAACTCATCCGGATGATCTATGTAGGGTAGACCCTTCACCATTTTTTTTCTCGATAAAAGCTTCAGGCCACCAAAATTAAGATGTCCAAGGCTCAAGTGCCACAACCAAGAATCATCTTTAATAATAGCATTCAAACATCTCATAGCATCATGTTGAATATTCAAAGGAAACATTCTATTCTTGGACATTTTCACATTAGCAATCAAATTACCACGAGCATCTTTAATTGTAAAGCAAAGATTCTTCATGCTAATATCATAACCCTTTTCTAAAAGTTGCCCCATACTCAAAATACTATTCTTCATATCCGACACATAATAGACATCAGCAATAAAATCATGATTGCCATTCTTGAGCTTAATAAGAATTTTACCTTTGCCTTTCACTAGAATGTTGGAGGAGTCACCAAAAGTAACTTTGCCTTGCGCCACTTCATCAAGTTCTACAAACATATGCTTCTTGCCACACATATGGTTGCTTGCCCCGGAATCAAGAAACCACATGTTGCCATTTTCTTCCTCAAATCCATCGTAGGCCAACAACAAAGTAGATCTCGCTTCATTACTTGATTTCTCGGCATAATTCACATGTTCTTCAACACTTTTATTTGCACTTGCCCAACATTCATTACTATAATGCCCAAACTTGTGACAATTGATGCATTCAACATTCCTCTTGTCAAAACTTTGATTGTTGTAATTGTCTCTTGCTCTTTCTCGTCCTCTTCCTCTTGAACCATAAGAATTTTGATTTCTTGCATCGTTAGTGAATTGACCTCTTCCTCCTCTACCTCTATTAGCATAGCCTCTTCCACGACCTTCGTAGCCTCTTCCTCGATGTACTACCTTGAAATTCTCTTTTTTCATCTTTTAAAGAAATCTTGGATTGTAGTGTTTGTTCAAGAGAACTTGAAGTCTTTTTATTAATACACTGCTCATGTATTTCCGATGTCGCCATCAATTCATTGACGCTCGTAGTCTTGAAATCCATGGATTGCTCAACAACTATAACAACATGCTCAAATTTTTAGGTTAAAGTTCGTAGTAGTTTTTCCTTAACACGAATATCATCAATATCTTCTCCATACCTTCACATTTGATTCACAATCACCGAAGTTCTTGAAAAATACTCTGAAATTGACTCGGCTCCATTCATGTTCAACCCTTCAAATTCACTTCACAATATTTGAAGACGAACCCGAATTGTTTTATCAATGCCTCTATGCATACCCTTCAAAATTTCTCAAGTTTGTTTTGAGGTGGTGGCGGAAGAAATCTTCTCAAAAGTATTATCATCAATACATTGGTAAAGTAAAAATAACGCCTTCTTATCCGTCTTTCTTGATTCCTTAAGCACCGTCTTTTGAGCATCATTAAGCGCTTGCTCTTCCTCCATGGTCAGCTCGATGTAACCTTTTTCAATAATTTCCCAAAGATCTTATGAATGTAACAACACCTTCATTTGAATACTCCAATTCCCATAATTATTTTTTCCCAATTTGGGAAATTGGGGTTGAAGCACATTACTCATACTCATAGTAGCTCTGATACCAATTTTGTTGGGTATTAGGAGCAAAATAGATCACCAACAGAACACAAAAAATAGAGGATAAAAATCTGCTATACTACCACACTAATTTCACTCAAGAAACACCTCTATTTTCATTAAAAATGATCACAATATCAAGGAATACAAGGGGAATA